CGCAGAATTTTAAGTTTTGTATTCTTTTGCTACAAGGCAGGTGTCAGGCTATCTATATAGGAAAAGTTATTTTTATGAAACCAAAACTCCAAAGAGGACCTTTTGTAAAAATACAAATGGAATAGTCATTTTAGGGAAGGAATCATTGTAAACAATAAGAGGAGGAAAAGATACTCTATCATGTCTGATTCCAGTGAAGGGTCTTCATATTTTTAGGATACAAACTTAGTAGTCACAGTGACAGGTGGCAATTCCAGTTGAATATTCATTCACCTAAGAAATACCTGTCTCTACACTCAGATGGATCCTAGGTCTGCAGCGTTACTAAAATGAACTAAACATACGGAAAATTAAGGTAGAGGTAAAAGGTTGGAGTCTTAATTCTGGAAGGTGAATTTCTAAAAACCAAATTTAGTGGTACGAGCAAAGATCCAAAGCAAGTCCCAACTGAATGAAATGAAATGCATTAAATATAAATGGATATATCATCATTTTGATCTAAGCCACAGGGAAATGTTAGAAAGTTAAAGCTTGCAGAGTATAATCAGATAGCAGGCCCTTTAAAAAGGAAGAGAGATTTAAAATAGGAGGATTAGGAGGAGCTTAAAAGCAGGCACGCGATGCCTGGACACCTGCCCTAATTGTCTTTATGGGGCAGTCAAGAAGACAAATGTTTAAAAATTTAAAGGGCAGATATAGTACTTCTGTTCTTGTTTTTCCATTTTATAGCATTATTTTTATTTATATACTTGATGATCTCAGGTTCTCTTCAATGTGTGCCAAAGACATGCCTTCTTGCCCATTTCTTAGATATTCTAGAACAAATTCTTGCTGGTGGAGTTTCTGCCATTTATCATAGAGAACTATAAACACACAAGTATCAATAAATAGAAATTTCCAACCCCAAAGGACACAGTTGAGAGATGCCACGGATACATTATTGAAAGCTCTCAGATGCAACTGTGCGTTTCAAATGGCCCACATTAGTTTTCTGATAAACATGGCATTGTGACTTTGGATTTCTTGTTATTAAAAATTGTCTTGTTTAGTTAGGTCTGCCTTCTCTTTTCAACCCATAAATGGTGATGGCCTTCTTTGTTACCACAAAGAGCTTCTCTGGCCTCTTCGGAGAACCATATCTGAGAGAAGTGTGGGAGGATAGATAAGGAAGTGTGAGAGTGTGGGAGCATAGATAAGGAAGTGTGAGGGTCTGGGATGTGCAGGCCCCTAAGGGTGGGGGGTGGGTGCAGGGAATGCGGTGGCCCTGGAGGGGGCATTGCTGCAGCGGGCAAGTGGGCCCTCTCCAGAAAATTGCTTTTAGAGAACAAAGAGGCTATTCTTTGGGAAGAGCAGCTCCATCTTCTCTCTCTCTTTTTCATGGTGGCTGGCAGCTCTTCTCCCCATTTCTATCCCATTTTGCCTATAATGCTCTGTCCTTTCCTTCACTTAAGTAATCTATGGCTATAGTTCAGTGAGATATAGTTCAGTGCAAACTGTGGAAAGTGCTTGTATTTATTTATTTTGTTAAGCATTTATTTTTAAGTAATCTTTGCACCCAACATGGGGCTCGAACTCAGGACCCCGAGATCAAGAGTCACATGCTCTTCCAACTGAGCCAGCCAGGCGCCCCAGAAATTGCTGGTATTTACTTAAAGCTTCAAAACCCAGGTCCACAGAAAACAACTAATCCAATCAAGAAATGGGCAGAAGACATGAACAGACATTTCTGCAAAGAAGACATCCAAATGGCCAACAGACACATGAAAAAGTGCTCGACATCACTCGGCATCAGGGAAATACAAATCAAAACCACAATGAGATACCACCTCACACCAGTCAGAATGGCTAAAATTAACAAGTCAGGAAACGACAGATGTTGGCGAGGATGCAGAGAAAGGGGAACCCTCCTACACTGTTGGTGGGAATGCAAACTGGTGCAGTCACTCTGGAAAACAGTATGGAGGTTCCTCAAAAAGTTGAAAATAGAGCTACTGTACGACCCTGCAATTGCCCTACTGGGTATTTACCCCAAAGATATAAATGTAGTGATCCGAAGGGGCACCTGCACCCCAATGTTTATAGCAGTAATGTCTACAATAGCCGAACTAGGGAAAGAGCCTAGATGTCCATCAACAGATGAATGGATAAAGAAGATGTGGTGTGTGTATACACACACACACACACACACACACAATGGAATATTATGCAGCCATCAAGAAATCCAAAATCTTGCCATTTGCAATGACGTGGATGGAACTAGAGGGTATTAATGCTAAGTAAAATAAGTCAATCAGAGAAAGACAAATATCATATGATCTCACTGATATGAGGAATTTGAGAAGCAAGACAGAAGATCATAGGGGAAGGGAGGGAAAAATGAAACAAGACGAAACCAGAGAGGGAGACAAACAGTAAGAGACTCTTAATCTCAGGAAACAAACTGAGGACTGAGGGTTGCTGGAGTGGAGGGGGGTGGGAGGGATAGGGTGGCTGGGTGATGGATATTGGGGAGGATATGGTGAGCGCTGTGAATTGTGTAAGACTGATGAGTCACAGACCTGTACCCCTGAAACAAATAATACATTATAAGTTAATAAAATAATAATTAAAAAAAGAAAAACCCAAAACCCAGGTCCAAGATCTCCTGCCATTTGTTAGAGCGTGACCTTGAGCATATCACTTAACCACTCTGAACCGTGCTTTTCTCGTCCATAAACTGAATATTTATATTTCGTGCATTATCTGCCTCATGGGATTAGTGGAGATTAAATGAGAAAATGTATATGAAAGCATATCCTAGGGCTCTGATGATGATTTGATTATTATTATTTGAAAGCTCTATAGGTGGGCTGGTTCTTTCCACCTAGAAAAATAGAAGATTCTTATTCAAAGTCTTACTGAACAGAAATCAGCACCAACTTGCTTATTTGAATTTTTATAATGAAGTACAAATGCAAGATAGATGGAATTTCTGAACAAGCTCCTGGCTGTTGAATAAATTTTTTATATCTTAAAAACTGTAACAATATAAGTATTTTTAAAGAGATATATAATGGTTTCTGAAAATACCTGAAAATGCCCATGCTTTTATAGATGTTTAACTATGCAATTTGTTCTAAATGTCTAATCTTGAATGATTAAATAATTTGCATACTGTTTTCAGTGGCATGAATTAAAGGCTAATTGAAGTATAATTTTTTGCAGTAAAACTATACCATCTTTTATGTAGTACATTTAAAAATATTCTAGGCCAGTTCTAATTTTATAGTTTTATTATTTTAATTTAATGTACCAAGTAATTAAAAATTGCTACAGAGAAAAGATGAAAATGATTTTAGTTCACGTCCCCTGAACAGAGTGAAAAGATGATGAGGAGAAAAATGGAACAGAGCTCAACACAGTTCCTGGCACATAAAGATATTCGTTAAATGTTCCTTAATGAATAGGAATGAATAATTTCGAAGTATTTCTAGACTTCAGGAAAAGGTGCCATTCTTGGTGCTATATAAAATAGGAACAAGATTGCTTGACATCTTTATACTAAAATGCTTCCCTACATAGGTCCCCTAAGCCACTTTGACCTGAACCACTAGACCCTCAGTTTGCTCTGCTCACCTTTTCTCTTTTTCCCTTTACTCTTGGAGTAGATTCTTAGGCCAAAGTCAGTCACAGATGTTGAGAGGCCATTCTCGGTGGGTATCTTGCAAGCAGAGGCACTGCCTACTCTTTGTTCTGGACTGTCTCTTCAAGGATGTTTATATAGCAAACGGCTTTTGAAGACAAAGTGCAGGTTTGCTCATAGCCTTGGAAGATAGAGGTGGTGTCTCCTTCCAGAACAAAGGGAGGACAGGACATGCTTACTGTAGTCTAATAAAGGCAATGTCTCCCTGTGAGACAGAAAGCAGGAATGCTTATTGTCCATTTTAAGGTTTGGGTCCCTAAGCTCTCCTGTAACGTAACCCACCACGTGGGCAGGAGTTATGTGGACCTTGCTCTGTCATCCCGTGGAGCTCGAGGCTCAGGAAACTGGTGTAAAACATGCTGATGTTCTGGCTGCTATTATTGCTGTGAGTTTATCTCTAACCAAGGCAATTTGTGTCTTCTACTAACATCCATGAAACTGTGGCAGGCTACCTTGTTAGTTCGCACGTAGGATAAAATCTCAAACCCTAAACAATTCCCGACAATAGGTTTCAGCACTATTTGGGTAAGTTGGCCGGTATGGTGTGGTGTAGTTGGCTCACTCATCTAGGAAGCGAACCCTTTTACTGCCAGTGGCTAACCACCATGGTGGGTATACTTGGGGACCCTGGGTCCATATTCTCAAGAGGAGAAGTGAAGGGGCATCATAGGGTTAGCAGTAAAAGATGGACAAAGATCCAGAAACTTTGGCCCAGAATACTGTCTAAAACGATGAAGCCTCTAATAACTCACTTTGTAGGGGTGGTTGGGTGGTGGGTGAAGAGGTTAGAGCAAAGAAGATGCCATGAAGCTTCAGAGCAGCATGAAGTCCTTCATGTTCATAGAAGCTGTAAGTCATAGTGTTGGCACCTACCATATTGAAGCTTATTAGCTAATTTTTTTTTTGAGCCAAGAGGATGCATTTTTGAGAGCACTTTGCTTTGAGGTCATAGTGCTTTGTTTAGTGTGCTCACATTGAGTGCTTGTTCTGGAAAAAGACATAGTGGCAGTGTCTGGCCCATTAGGTCACTCTGTTTGTGCCCCTCTTCCTTCCCTAGTCTTTATGGTTTATTCAAGTACTTCCCTAGTACCACTTAGGCAACTTTAATAACATGCAAGGATGGTCAATACCACGGACCTCAGAAGTCTCAGCTCCCTCAGGTACCCTCAGAGTTTGAACATAGTAATGCTGCCTCCAAGAACCAGCCCTTTGCCTACTTCCCTATTGTGGGATGGCATTCAGGGTTGTTACGGAGATGTGCTGTGACCTCTTCCTTGTTAGTCACCCGATGAAACAGTTGTGTTTGGTTCCACCATAGGAACTTTTATCCGGCGTCATCGGATTTCGCTCCCACCTCCTGATGAAGATCAGTTTTATACTGTGCATCATTTCAATATCAATATAGACATCATCTTTTATGGCTGGACATTCAAGATTTATGACTGTGATACGTTCACAAAAAACTTTCTGAAGAAAATAGGAGTCAAATTAAACCCCCCGGGACAGTGTCCAGAAGATCCTTACATGAAGATGCGGAGAGAGGTAAGGAGTTGATATGTCCATGAGTTCGTGCCTTCCGAATGAGAATCCAGAAAGGAGAGTCAGTAAAGGGTATCTGCACTCCTGATGCAGATGTGAAAGAACTTTTGGGGTCATAGTCACTGGAGTGGTCCTGTTCTCCTCTAGGCTGGAGGGAACTCTGGGTGTTGACCTCAGGGCAGGAAAGCCTCACTCACTGCCCCCGACCCCACTCCTATCCATGGAGAGTCTCCCTTCCAGACAGTAGGAGTCTTCAGTGAGCCGCCCACATGGGACAATTTCTAAGAGCCTGCAGTTGGCTTTGTGGTCACTGATAGTATAAGAGTTAGGTCCACAATTACCTGGCCTGTTTTTCCCCATTTTGGTTGCCTAACTCTGGGGAAAAATGTTTGCTTCTGCACTACTGGTTTATTGCACCACACCTTGGGTATACCTTTTTCTTCCTTCCCCAGGACTCCCAGCTCTAGCGATGGTGGCATCCGACGTAGAGATGTTCCAGAGGAGTGGGGAGAGCCATGATTCTGGTGCACCCTGTTGTAAAAAGATGTTTGTCTTCCAAGTCCGACCCCAGTTAGTATAGGGAGGCAGGAACCAGTGTTAGTAGTAGTATTGTTGTCTTTCTATAGTTGTCTTTTTTTTGTTAATGATCCTTTGGCCCAAATTTTGTGTTTTTTACGAAAGAATCTGAATACGCAGAAGAGCAAGTGTCAGGTGGAAGGTCACATACCTAGCCAGTCTTCTTACTGGGACTTCACCTCAAATCTTTTGCTGCCTACCCAGATTTTGATTATTGTCATTTTCTTTTTCACTGAAGTATGATTAGACAGAGTAAAATAGATTTTTTTTTAATTTATTTATTCATGAGAGACAGAGAGAGAGAGAGAGAAGCAGGCTCCCAAGGAGCAGGGAGCCCGATGTGGGACTCAATCCCAGGACCCTGGGATCATGACCTGAGCTGAAGGCAGACGCTTAACCATCTGAGCCACCCAGGCGCCCTAGACAGAGTAAAATGCACAGAAATGAAGTGTACAGTTGGATGAGTCTTAACAAATGCATACATCCATGTCATCCACACCCAAATCAAGATACAGAACGTGTCCATCCCCCCAGAAACTTCCCTCTTGGCTTTTTCCAATCATTCGCTCTTCCCACTCAGGGATAGGTAACCACTGTTCTCATTTCTATCCCTATAGATCAGTTTAGTTTCATTCCTATTGCTTCTAAAACTTGTAATTAATTTCCTTGCAGAAAGATAACATGAAATTTAGAATAAAATCCTCCTTTGATTCTGCTTTGATCTCTTGTTCAAAGCTGCGTGTAGGGTCATTCATCTGTTCGCACCTCCTGGCCCCAGCAGAGTTATCCTTTAATATTGGAGGCATTTAATATTGTAGGCATGCAGCCTTCCTGAGAAATATGTGTTGTTGATCCTGGCATATTTAAGGTGAAGTTCCTATGGAATTATACCTGTGTATATTGGCATATAAGCAGATTTATAGTTTGGGTTTATTTTTATTTTTTCAAAATGCCCTAGATGACAGAGCCTAGATAAACATAAAGTCTATGCAATGAGAAGAGAGAACCTAAAAGAAGAGTCTGCTTAAGATTCTCTCTCCCTCGGGGCACCTGGGATGGCTGCACTCATTTGCTAACAGTTGGTATTATACGATAGTGATTATGGATGATGATGCATTATATTAAGTACAGAGAACATTGTGCCATTTCATAGGTTTATGATGAAAGAAATCTTTTGTGCCAGGAATCGAGAATAAATACCACGAACAGCCAAGAAATGTTTTAACTAATTTCCTTTCAGGTTGGGAAAATCATTTTTGCATTTATTCCCTCAGGGAGAAAGCTCTTCAATAAATATAGCAATCTGTGGAAAATTAGGAGTTTAATGAGAGGCTTTTATATTGACTTTAATGCATTTACTTCTCCAATGTTTGCTGCCTTCAAATATAAAGTTAAAATTAAACAATTTAACTTAAACTGAAAAGAGCCCCAATGGTGTATAATCAATAATGCATTTCTTAAAGGCCTTATAATGCAAAGAAACATTTTTCAGTTAGTGAAAGCAGAGGTCGCATCATTTCATTTAAATATCCAGGATAAAGAAGAAGGATAAGAGCCTCTGGAAGGCCATGATGTCTCTCCCAGTCTTGGAGTAGGTCTGCCCCTAGACTGCCCCAGACAGATAAAAAATTCTGAGAACTGACAAATACGATCACATAACCCGATATGAGACTACTTCTCCCTTGCCAGTGAGCACTTCCTTATATAACGATCCTATTTGGCTACATCAGATAGAATGGGGGCAGTTATGCTCCAAGACAGGGCTGAGAACATGCAAATAGAGCCCCATCAGGAATCCCACAAAAGTAGGGATACCTGGGCTGGGGGACAGAACCCATGCAGCAGTTCTGTGCGGCTTTGGAAGTTCTCCATTTGCTCTGCTCCTGTTTCCACACCCTTCCAGATCCTTGATAGGTAAAGCTTTGGAGCAAAATAAAACTGTGACTGTGTTTCTTCCCTTTTACTTTTACAAAAATCTTTGGATGAATAAGAAGGATATACAGATATGAATTCTCAGTGAAGAGACAAACAGATTTTTGGGGGGGTTGAGATATAATTAACGTAGGCTCAGACATACAAATTTTAAGAGTACAGATCAACAAGTTTTGGAAAATGTATGCGGTTTAATAAGTGACACAAAAATCAAGATGTGGAATATTTCCGTCACCCAAGAAAGTTCCCTTCTCCCCCCTTCCGGTCAGTCCCCTACCCAGAGAGGCAACTACCATTCCAATTTCTGTCACCACACATTAGTTTTGTGCGTTCTTACGCATTTTAAGTCTTGGAGCAAAGCCAGTTTTCAAAGATATCATCGAAGTGTATTTTAGGGTATCAAAATACTGTTTAATCTCAAATGCTTCCTACTAGTGGATTGTCTGTATTTTTAAGGTGAAAACTGGCTGCAGGTGTATATACATGTATGTCATTAATGCATTGACATTTAAAAAAATATCACGGCATAGTCAAGGGGCAAGATCTCTTTTATGTTCTCTGATTGCTTGCATCCCAGAAGTGACGGTGCACAACTGCTGATCTTGACTTCTTTTTCTGTTTTCAGACACTAGACTGCATGGAGCCCTTACGTCCCTATGAGTCCTTTGACACCCTGAAACAGTTCCTTGAGTACGATAGGAAGGTGTTACGTTTTTTCTGCCTGTGGGACGACTCAGCCTCGGTGTTTGGGGACTGTAGGAAACTCATTCTGCATTACTTCCTGTCTGATGATACCATTGAAGTCAAAGAAGTGATGCCACACAACTCAGGCCGGGATGCTATGTCATTGTTCCTCCAGAGGAGAAAGCTCCCCAAGGTGAGCAGCAGACACAGAACCCCTTTCCGCGTTTGCCTGTGGGCTCAGAAACTCTCGTCACTCACTGTCTGGCATGTCGGGACCATGGACCATGTATCAGTTACCATGGATTAGTACAGGTGTTTAGAAAAGCTTCATTTTGTGCTAGTAAGATACCTCTGTGAAAGTACCATAAAAGATATGACAAATGGAGGTAGGACTATTCTGGGTTTCATTAAGGCAAGTAAAGGAAGAAAGTCAAATGCGAGAGAAAGTGCATATTCATCACAGAGTTCATAATCTGTCTTCTGAACGTAGAAGACTCTCTAGTTAGAACTGCTTGCGGGGTGCCTGGGTGGCCCAGTCGGTTGAGCATCCGACTCTTGGTTTTGGCTCAGATCGTGATCTTGAGGTCTTCTGCTCAGCGTGGAGTCTGCTTAAGATTCTCTCTCCCTCGGGGCACCTGGGTGGCTCAGTTGTTAAGCATCTGCCTTCAGCTCAGGTCATGATCCCAGGGTCCTGGGATCGAGCCCCACATCAGGCTCCCTGCTCTGCGGGAAGCCTGCTTCTCCCTCTCCCACTCCCCCTGCTTGTGTTCCCTCTCTCACTGTGTCTCTCTCTGTCAAATAAATAAATAAAATCTTTAAAAAAAAAAAAATTCTCTCTCCCTCTACCCCCTCACCAATAAATAAATAAATACATCTTAAAAAAAAAAAAAATTGTTCACGCCCTTGGCTAGGGCACTGGCCTCTGGCCTCTGGCCTCTATAGCCTACTGAGCAGATTGCATGGTTTTGGTCTGTGTTGTGAATAAACAAACACACACACGGGCACACATGCACACACACACACCCCGATAAGCATACGCACAGGAGTGACTCTTAGAAGAGTAGCTGGTAGCTACTGGCTAGTGTCAGGGACAGTTTTACATTTTATTTACTATTGAAAGAGAGTTGTGAGACTGATTTCTACACGTTTATGGCCATTTGAGAGCTAATGTAACTTGGGTGCAGCAGAAACAGCACAGAGACAGAAGACCTGGGTTAGAATTATGGGTCTGCCACTTAAAAGCTGTGTGACCTTCAGCAAGTCACTTAACTTCTCTGAGTGTATTTCCCTATCTCTAAAATGCTATTAACAAGGCCTCCCTCTGGAAGTAACTATAAAAGCTAAATGGGATAATATAGTAAACAAACCCACTAAGAACCTATAAACACTAGCAGGACACATAAAAACATAAAAGCCTTTCCAACAGTTCTGTGTTATGTTTCATTTGTTATTTGGATAAAATGTATTTTTTAAATATTTTTAAAATTTATTTATTAGAAAGAGAGCACACGTGCACATGTTGGGGGGGGAGGCAGAGGGAGAGAGAGAAGCAGATCCCAGGATCCTGAGATCATGACCTGAGCTGAAGGCAGATGCTTAACCAACTGAGCCACCCAGGTGTCCCTGGATAAAATATTTTTTAACTTTCTTCTTACTGTGACTGAGGAGGTTACCGTGACACTCATTTCTGAGACAAACAACCGATGGTTATTTGGTCCTCACAGGAGGCTCTCCCAGATTCTCTGAGCCCACCACCAGAAACCCTGCTGTGTTGCTTGGGCTGGGGGGAGGAGGCAGGATCTGTCCCAGAGGGGGCTCTGGGCTATGCACAGCAGGTGGCCAGGATGCACCTGGGAAGTCTGTTTTTAGAATGGCTCTGACCGATACACAAATTATAAAATAATAATGATGCACCTGACATTTGCAGTGTGTCTTGACATCAGTTGCTTCATTTACTCATTCATTCAGCAAATATTTATCAAGTGCCAGCTTTGTGCCTGCTCTGGGGTTACAGTGAGAAAGAAAATGGATTAAGTTCCACTTCCTGGAACTTACATTCTCATGGGGAAGAGCGAAAATAGCAGTAGGTATTCCCTTGACACTCAAACATCCTTTGAGAAAGCGAGGAATCGGTACTATTATTGCAAGTTCAAATGTGTGAATTTGTGCGTCTTATGTTAAAAGATTACCCGCAGCTCACGCAACTGCTGGGACCACCTCCAGTGCACGGAACTGAGGAGTATCTCGGGTTGCTCCAGGCCATAGTTTCTGGTAGAGGCTGACTGCACTCTCTTGTTCTTGCTGCCTTGCCACGCCACCTCTCTCTCGGCCAGCTAGTGTTTCCTGAGCTCAAGATTGGGCAGGATGCTAAGCTGAGTAAAGAAGGCAAGGCATGGTTTCTTCCTCAGGGCATTTTATAGTTCAGTGCAGAAAAAAGGAGATGTCTGCTGATGAGGCATTTAGAGAACCACAAGGGGTGCTTTAACCACATGGGAGGTGCTGTGAAGGTGTGGACCGGGGACAGGCCAGGAGGATGGGAAGGGTGAGGGGAAAGATGGGCCTTTATTAGGGCCTTGAAGGATGGGGTGTGGAAGTATAGGGAGAGGTAGATGGAGGATGATGGCAGAGAAGAACTGTATTAGGGAGAGGATAACTAAATTTCCCTCTACCCTTCAAGGTTTTTGCCTGAGACCATGTCCCACCACCACCCCCCACACCTGTAATAACAGACAGATTACCAGGAGAAAAACCAACAAACGTCTAATTACCTGCATACCTCCTGTATGGAAAGGAAAACGGAGTAACTCCCTGAAATGGCCCAGGCTACCACCTTAAATATCATCTCCACCTAAAGATGGAACAAATTGCCAGGGGAGGTGGGAAGGAGGCAAGTTATAAGGGGTCAGCAAGAAAAGCACAGTAAATAAGAGGAAGGTTGTAATGCAGATTTATGTGTCATCTTTTCTATTAGAGGTTTTAGAGATTTCGAGTCTTTCTTTTCCTGGAACACAGAGGGAGACACTCTTACAAATGGAGATTTCTTTATGGATGTAAATTTTTTTTTTTTTTACAGAAGGGTATTGTACTCAGCTTTTCCTGTGTCTGCTGTTTCTTAAAAATAACCAGCTCAAGGGGTGCCTGGGTGACTCAGTCGGTTAAATGTCTGCCTTTGGCTCAGGTCATGGTCCCAGGGTCCTGGGATCAAGGCCCACATCAGGCTCCTCGCTCAGTGGGGAGCCTGCTTCTCCCTCTGCCTGCCACTCCCCCTGCTTGTGCTTGTTCTCTCTCTCTCTCTCTCTGACAAATAAATAAATAAAATCTTTTTTTTTTTTTTAAAGATTTTATTTATTTATTTGACAGAGAGAGAGAGACACAGTGAGAGAGGAAACACAAGCAGGGGGAGTGGGAAAGGGAGGAGCGGGCTTCCCGCGGAGCGGAGAGCCTGACGCGGGGCTCGATCCCAGGACCCTGGGACCATGACCTGAGCCGAAGGCAGACGCTTAACGACTGAGCCACCCAGGCGCCCTGATAAATAAAATCTTAAAAAAAAAAATAACCAGCTCAAAATAATCAATACACCCAAGAGGCATATTTTGGGGTGGTGTGTTTGCTTGCCTTCACATACAATGCATATTTCCCACTTGAGCCCCTCACTATGACCAGCTTTGTGTTTAGTAGGCCATCTACCACACCTTGTTTGGATTTTGTCTTCCAGTATGGCCCACCTGGAGTCTATCAGCCAGGCCAGATAACAGATCGAACAGTTCTTAATGTGTACAGTGGCTTGACAGAGACCCGAGCGGACGGCTACCTGTTGGATAAATACAAGGTGAGGAACTTCACGTTTTGTTGCTATTTCCAGTGTAACTTTCCTGGAACCTGAAATGTGCAGTGAGTCACAGATTCTGTTGTGAGATTGAATGAAGTTAACGAATATATAAATGCATGCGTTGCACCGCTGTCTGTCAACACTAAACAAGCTTAAGCGCGTATATAAATATATTGCCGTTTGCAAGCAACTACATTACTAAAAGACTTTCCAAATGTTAACATCGACTGCTTGTCTTGGTTTGGCTTTAAAAATTCTGTTACAAATGATATAATTGAGGGGTGGGTTTGTTTTTTGTTTTTTTGCAATTTTTTTTCTTTTGGGAAGGGATGCCTAGGTCTTTGGAGGGTCTGTGGTGCCAACACTTTGTTCCTTTGTTTTTATTAGCTAGGAAAAGTAGATCAAGAGTTTTACAAAGATTGTGACCTGTTCATAGGAGCCACCATCAATGTGTGGGGAAGGAAAGTGCTTCTTTGTGACTGTGATGAATTTACAAAGACTTATTATAAGACGAAATATGGAATTGGTAAGTGATATATATGTCCATTAGAAAATAAAATTTAAACTTCAGAACCTTTGTTCCCTACGTAAGATTTTACTTTTGTGTTTGAAAGGCTAAGCTCATAGTAGCTACCATTTATTGAACATTTGCTCTCCGTCGGGCATTTGTTGGCTTCCTTTTTCCTAACAACGATTCTAGGCTCATTATCTCCATTTTAGAGGTGAAGAAACTGAGGCTTAAAAGGGGCTAACTTGTCGAAGGTTATGCAGTGAGTAAAGGGTGAGCTGAGAGTTGAATTTGCCTGCCTGATGCCAGAGGCTTTGGTTTTCCTTTATAGCCAGTCACCTGCCTTATTGCAATATGGGGTCAGTGTTTTCTGGTCAAGCAACTGAAGTGGGAATCTGAATATTTTTCTTTTCACTGAATTCTTGCTTACTACAATGGTTATACTGCTTATTTAAGTTCTCTGGGGAATTCTCTTGTGCCAATTTGCTCTACCTTTTCTGGTGAAGCCTGGCTACATTTCCAGCTTTTCTCTCTTCTTGGGTATCAGTTCTGTTCAGATGAGTTCAGTTCAGAATGAAAACGGGTGATTTATTAAGAACTTACTAGGCACAGGTTATTGTAGTAGGACTTAGGAGCTACGGAGTTAAAGAGTTTCTTGGGCTGGAAGGAGAGCAGAAACCTACAGCACATCGGATGGTGTTATGAGGATCACAGAAGCAGGCGGAGGACCTGATATGAAACCTGAAAAACAAACCCCTCATTTGTGAAACCTGTCAGCCAGCTCTGCCCCTTTCCTGGGCCCTGTTCCAGGTACCTGCTGGCACGAGGCTAAGGGGGTGGTGGGAGTTGCCAACCTCCCAGGTTGGGGTTTGGCTGGGGTGGGAGTGCTTACTCCTGCACTCCTCTCCGAACCTTGGAGTGTTCATGTGAGCACACTTGCCTGAAGGAGGAGATAGAAGCCAGAAGCACAGCTATCTAAAAGACAAAGTGCTTTTTCTCTAGAATGAGACGAGCACCTCATGTGTCTTGGTGTCCCGTTGTGTAGAGTTCCTGGCCTCCTGGGAATCTCTCTCTCTCTCTTTTTTAAAGATTTTATTTATTTAGAGAGACTGAAGGGAGGCGCAGAGAGAGAGGGAGAGAGAATCTCAAGTGGGCTTCACGCTCAGTGCAGAGCCCGACGTGGGGCTCAATCCCAAGACCCTGAGATTACGACCGGAGCCAAAACCAAGAGTCGGATCCTTAAGCAAATGAGCCACCCAGGCATCCTCCCTCCTGGGAATCTTTATATCATGGGAGAAGGCACATAGCACACACAAAGGGTTGGAATTAAAAACACTTTGAATTTCACTCTTCAGTTCATTAAGGGAATCTGTTCCACTGCATCTGCATGCCAGATTAATCAAAATGTGTGGGGCCAAATTGGTGGTCTCTCCTAACATTCGTCCTCTTTTGTGGACACCATTGGGCATATTGGTTTTGGGGACTGTGAATAAGAGGCAGCCAGGAAGGTGAGTGTGGTGGTTATTGTAGAGAAGTTGCTGGTGGCCCATAGGTCCTTGGGAAGGAGAATTTGGTTTTTAATAAATGTCAGTGTCTGTTTAGAATCAATGTCTTCAGTGTCGACTTAAAATTGGAAAAAAAATATATGTAAAAGATGAGTTAACCAAAAACATTGACTCATGTCCTACTGAAAGATCTTAACATAAAGGAGGAGGCAAAGTTTCCAAAACATCATGTGATCCCTTCAACCTAGAGGCCAACATTTGGTTGATGTTTGTCCATCAGTTTGATTTTGAGACTATAAAGGTGGCATTTGGGAAAATGAACATGGTGCTGGTGAGACATGGTACATTGTTAGTTTCTTAACATGTTGGCAGGGAACTTGCCGAGGCAGAGTGAATTCACTGGTATACTCTAAATCTCGCTGTCCTCGGCAAATGGATCTGCTTCAGATGCCTGATGGTCCATTTCTGTTGAGCCCTAGTGCTTAATTTCTTTCTGCTCACTTCTTTTGTTTACCTTATAGAATTATGTATTATGTAAAAGAAAAAAACAGTTTGTGCCTTTAAAGCTAATATAACATGAGCATTATGCATTTAAACAGAAAATTATGCAAATGCAAAATTATGATGCATTTTATAGTCACGCTGACTTTTTATATTTCTCATAACATATGTTAAAATATCCCATTTAACAGACACTATTATTACACAACATTTCTTGAGTAACAACAGTGTATTAATATAAGTAATGACTAGAAATTATATCCATGATGCAGCGGGGGTGGGGGGTGGGTGGGTTGTGAATCTGTGTTCTCTGATACTCTTTCCATTGCCTTTTCTGACTTTTTGGTAAGGTTAAATTAAGATGCTTAATGTTACTTAGATACAGTTACTTCTGACATATTCATTTTGTATGTAATTCATTCTGCTCCAAATTCATAAGACCAAATTCTATACATTAAACTTTGGTATCCTTGAAGCTCAGACCTGAACAAAGTTCTGTCTATAACCAAGGTCAATAATTGTGGTCAGTAGAATGCCTGGTGTCTCCACTCAGCAGCCCCACAGGAAGGAGCTGACAAGTCCTAACCACACAACCAGGGACCTCCTAAGAGGAAGCCGGGGGGAGATTCGTAAATGCAGCCTTCGTACTTTTTTCCAAGAGCTATCTGTACCCCGGTGTGAAGCCCAATTTGCCTCCTAAAACGAGAAGATTCTTTTGTGCATTTAAGGATTCCAAGGAGAAAGCAATTCCGTCAACTTCTTGCACAAAACATTCCAATGTGACTCCCCCACTAGGCAGCTTGGCCATCCTGCTGACCCTGGCTCACCTGCTGGGCAGGAGCATGTCGCTCCCTCATTATTTCGTGTGGATGAACACGGACTGGCAGATGGAGGCCTGTTGGACTTTCCTGTAGCATAAAGGTTAGAAAAGGCTCCAGGGGCTCCAGCATGTGTTTCCTTCACTGAAGGAACAGGGGGACTTGAATATAAACTGCTCTTACCTAGAATTCTTGCCTTGGGTTATTATTTCTTTGTTAGAGGAGGACTTGGTGATCATCCATTCTTAGTGGCTGGGAGAACCAAACCAGTAAAAGACCAGCCGTTCCCATTGCTCTTGAACACTTACTAGGCTGTACTGACATGAAGGCTGAGCACAGTTCTTAAAGCATCTTTAATTTTGTGGTGTTATTACTGGCCTCTCGATCAATTCTGAACTCGGTGCTGGAAGCAGTGAGACATCCAAGATAGTAGTTTAACGGTCATTCGAGCAAACGAGCCATCCCAGGCTATAATGACGGAGTAGAATTTGCTTCTGGTTGCACCACGTGGCCTTAATGGATGGAACAATTTTGCCCCTTTGTCTTCCCCTATGAAGTACAGAGGATTGAGGAATGGCTGATCCCTAAGGATTTTCTAGCTAGAGCTCAGAATATATGTGATTCACTAATGATTTGAGCCAGAAATGAACATCCCACCCAAACCATTTGACCTGGGTATTAGGTACAAGGGGGGGGGGGGGGGTTGGTGGTGGTGGAATTTGCTTTGACATTCATGAAGCTTGAGCTTTAGGGTTCTTCCTTTGCAGGAGCCCCAGTCCAAGGCCCTGGACCTGATTTTGTCTTAATAATTTGGCATTCTTTGTATTGAAGAGCTTCTCCCAAATTATGTAAGCTCCAGGCCTCCCCAAATCTGAGTCTGTATCTGGGTTACTAGAACATACAAGATGAACTTTGAGGTGATTGAAGGCTTTTTTTCCGGTACGGTTTCCAACTGAGATGGCAAATAGTAGATCACTGTGAAGGGTCATTAAGATTCCTTTGAAAAACATACCACCTTTCTGTAAATTTGTTAGAATCCAGTTAATCGTGGGTAGACATTCAGTATATATGTTTTTACAAGTCGCTTGGAATTAGAGGAATCAGACAGTTGGAAAGACAGATGTGTCCCAGAGTTCAGCAGAGTGCTGTTGACGAAGATATTTGGGAAGGTGCTGTGTACAAAAACGTATCATTTTTCATGTATTCAACGAATAGTTTTTAATACCTGAAACATGCAGGATGCTGGGATGTTGGAACACCAAAGACAGGAAACATATGCAGGGGCAAGTCTCAAGCCTTGCGAATGTACACAATTACCCAGAGAAATGAGCTCTTGGGTCAGAGTATCCAGAAAGATATACGCGGGACAAAAAGTCAGGCAAGATGGAGTGGAACCGTTCTCGGCTTTTATACACTAGATGGCACTGTGGGTGCAGAGGAAAGCTCTAAATTGGTTCTTTTGTTACTTAAATCTGTTGCAAAAATTATGTAGTTGAGAAAACAACGCTGTTATAAAACCTATAATTTGTGGGGGGGAGGTATAGAATGCATTCTTAATTACTTTGTGATGCAGTACGTGTCCTCTTTTGGTTACACTGTTCAGATTAGTATGGAGAGTTGTCTCTATGGATATGTACCCTGTTAGGAAAAACGGATCATGCCCCAATTTTCTAATAATCACATAGAGCTTTCTCTACCAGCCCGTCCTTTCCCTGAAATGACGGTACCAGTCAGTGGCGCGTTTGATTTCACAGCGACGATAGGGTCTACTGCAGTTCTGCCGAATTCCAAGATGTGAACTTTCCTCTTTATTACCCAGATTTTAATTGCCACAAAAATAGCAATAGGAGAGGCTCGCCAGTCACTTCTGTACTGGCTGCCTGGCTGCTTCCTTTCACTGAGCCAGTGAGAAATCTTTGCTGGCATTTTCTTTGCCAATATGTCTTCTGTGAACGGTTTCTGTTAAGATAGAACAATACTCTTTTGGGGATTATGCTTGAGGGGATTTCGCACAAAGGCTAAAGAATAAGGAAGTCTAAGGAAATGTGAAAGCTGAAAATGTCTTCAAATCAGAGTTAGAAATAGCCTCAGACCCTTAGCCTTTTGATCCATCAGTTAAAAAAAAAAAATCCCTCAATTTTAAGAGTTGGGTTGCTTTGGATGACAAATTGATGCACACTTTCAATTATGCTCTAAATCTACACTCTTGTTTCCGTTAGGACTTTGACAGTGGAAAAGGAAATCTTTGCTTATATGGAACTACTTTGAGTCCCAAATGGCACCACCTAGGGGATACTCGAGCTTGGGTGAGAAGTAGAAATTAGATTCCATGAGTTGTTTTGTTGTTGTGTTTTGCTTTTGGAAAGATCCTGGCATTTTCTTTGCCCTTTGTGGTGGGACAAACACAAGTAAGTGACTTGGAGCTATCAGTTGAACGGGCTCTTCGCTCTAGAGAGAACACTTGCTTCTCAGACATTATACAACTTCACAAATGAGGGCCTGAAAGCTGCCAGGTGGTTACAGATATGTCTCCAGCTCTCTGTCCATCTCTCCTTCCTCACAGATGATAAGGACGGAAAGAAACTCAATGGTATTTCCACATAACACCCCCTTTGAGCGAGTAAGCAGGGATTATTTTTAAAGTTTTGTGTATTTGTTTTCGGTTTTATTTTTGTGTTTTTTTGTTTGTTTGTTTTGTTTTGTTTTGTTTTGCTTCGTCACATTTTAGTACAATTGCAGTCTTTTCTTGGGCAGTCATAAGAGCAATCCAGAGCGGTGGCTGGTGAGAAGTTTTGGTTTTGTTTTGTCACTAGATGGGGAAGTGCCATGGCCTGGGGTTGAGTTGGAGGAAAGAGAGAGGCCTGAAAAGTTGGACACAGGAGGAGGGGACAGCGGATGGGGAAGGTAAAGGCAAAACAGGAGTCAGTCCTGTTTGGAAAGGAATTTGAAGAGTGAGTGTTGACTGAGGAGAGGATGGGGCTAAGCTGCAGGTTAAAACAGGGGATGGGTGGCAAAAAGTTCCAAGTTTGAATTTTCGTTATCATTGGAAAAATCAGGGAAGAACCAAAAATAGTCAGACATGGGGGTGTGATGACAAAAGATAAATGTTTACTTATTCGACATAGGCAGTTTCTTTTTTTCTTTCTTTGTTTTGAACCAATGGCGATTATTGAGTGAGTTCTGTGGTTTTTGTAAACATGATTGAAACCTACCCTCACAGGATTTGCTGTGTTTTGTTTGAAAGAGTTTAAAATAGTCCACAAAGATCTCCATGTCCATCTTGAAAACATAACAAACCTTTCAAAACAGCCACAATCAGGGCAAAAAAAAATATTGATGTTTCATTGGCCTTTGTTTTGTTGTAGAGAACTTCACCTCGATTCCATGCAAGGCTCCACCTCCTCCAAAAATAGAAAGGAAATTTCCACCTTATACTGGCTTTGGTTCTGAAGAGGATTCTCTCCGCTCCTGCATAAGCCTCACACCCACACCTCATCAGAAGAACTTCAAGAAGTTCCTGGAAAAAGACAGGTGCTTGAGGGAACCATGATTTCAGTCTGATCTTTCCCAAATGTGTTTGGGGTTTATACTATAGGCCTCATGGCGGAACACATGGCACTCAGCTCATGTGGTTAAGAGTTCAGGAACATGCCATTATAGCTTTTTAATGAAACTGATTAACATCCAAGTATTAAGAGGTTCTTCGTTGAGTGGTTATTTTATTTTTGTCCCAGTTTTATTGAGGTATAATTGACATATAACATTATTTATATATTTTTAAAAGAATTTATTTATTTATTTGTCAGAGAGAGAGAGACACACACAAGCAGGGGAAGGGGCAGGCAGAGGGAGAAGCAGGCTCCCTGCTGAGCAAGGAGCCCAATGCTGGACTTGATCCCAGGACCCTGGGATCATGACCTGAGCCGAAGGCAGATGCTTAATCAACTGAGTCACCCAGGCACCCCAATATTATATAATTTTAAGGTGTAACACAATGATTGGATATGTATATATTTTGAAAAAAGGATCACCATCAGAAGATTAGTTCACATAAGTTACCTCCCACAGTTAACAATTTTTTTTCTTTTGTGATGAGAACTTTTAAGATCTAGTCTCTCAGCAACTTTTCAATATACAAAAGCGTATTGTTAGATACAGTCACCATGTTGTACATTACATCCCTAGGACTTACTGATCTTATAACTGGAAGTTTGTACCTTTTGATTCCCTCTACCCATTTTGCCCACCCCCCACCCCCCATCTCTGGCAACCACCAGTCTGATCAGTTTCTGTGAGTTTGGTTTTTTGAGATTCCACACATAAGTGAGATCATACAGTATTTGTCTTTCTCTGTCTGACTTATTTTACTTAGCATAATGCCCTCGAGGTCCATCCATGTTGTCACAAATGGCAGGATTTCCTCCTTTTTTATGGTTGGATAATATTCCATTGTGTATGTATATACCACATCTTCTGTATCCATTCATCTGTCACTGGACACTTAGGTTGCTTCTGTGTCTTGGCTATTGTGCATAATGCTGCAGTAAACACAGAGGTGTGGGTATCTCTGAGACAGTGATTTCATTTCCTCTGAATATATACCCAGAAGTGGAACGGCTAGATCATATGGTGGTTTTAACTTTCTTGAAGAACCTCCATACCGTTTCCCAGAGTGGCTGCCCCAGTTCGCATTCCCACCAACAGTGTGCAGAAGTTCCCTTTTCTCCCATTTCCTTACCACCGAATGGTTATTTTCTTTTATTATTTATTATTTTTATTTTTTAAAAATATTGGAACACTCCACAAATTTGCTTGTCATCCTAATGACACAGGAGTTATGTTCGTCTTTTCTGTATTGTTCCAACTTTCGTATAAGTGCTGCCGAACTGATCGCTTGAGTGATTTTTTTTTTTTTTAAAGATTTTATTTCTTTATTTGAGAGAGAGACATAGCGAGAGAGGGAACACAAGCAAGGGGAGTGGGAGAGGGAGAAGCAGGCTTCCCGCCGAGCAGGGAGCCCGATGCGGGGCTCGATCCCAGGACCCTGGGATCATGACCTGAGCCAAAGGCAGATGCTTAACAACTGAGCCACCCAGGCGCCCCTTGAGTGATTATTTTTAATGTGTCATCTAGAAGCCCTTAAACCTGTATTATTCCCAATCATGTTGCCTTTCCATACATATATCTCCTCAAGATGGTCCCTAGGAAGTGGTATAGAGTAGGGGTCAGCAAAATTTCTCTTTAAGAGTCAGATAGTAGATGTTCTTGGCTTTGAAGGCCATATGGCCTCTGTTACAACCACCCAGCTCTGTCATCATAGTGTGAAAGCAGCTGTAGAGTCCGTAAACAAATGCGTGACTGTGTTCCAATAAAACTTTGTGTATGGACACTGACATTGGAATTTCATATAAGTTTTACATATCACCAAATAATATTCTCTTGATGTTTTCACCCGTTTAAAAACGTGAAAACCATTCTTAGCTCACAGCCCACGCAAAACCAGGTGGCTGGCCATATTTGATCCACACACTGTAGTTTGCCTACCCTTGGTCTAGAGGCTTTAGTGACTCTGAAGTATTTTTCAGGCTATTATTTGACAAATAATGTTGTTTTCCTTTGAGAAGTTTGGCTGAGTTTAGTAACCGTAGATTGCTCCCATGGCCGAATATAATTTCAAAAGATGGACTTTCAAAAGCATTCCTAATATATACAAGGAAAAATCCGTCGCTCCATCGTGTGTATAGAATGTGGGCACTGCCCATGGCTACTTTTTTACTTCTGCAGGGAAAGCAGGCCCTAGAAAAAGAAGTTGGGGAAAAAAGTGGTGGGAAAATGTTGCAGTTGTTTGCATAGGATGTGGGTTTACCATTCAAGTCCCATGTGAGGGGAGTACTGAGTCAGGAGAACCGGTGGAGAAAAATGATAAAGGAACATGCAGTAAGACCAGGAGAAGGAGATGAAAAAGACAGCATCCTGAATTTGATATAAAATTTAATGGGATTGGATACAATCACAGAACATTTTGACATAGAACAATCATTTTGCCGTATTTGTAAAGATGGTGAAAATATAGTAAGAATTGTATAGACTGTCTAAAAGGTTGTCTTTGCCCTGACATTATGGCCTTTGCAAACTTTTCAGAAATAATCCTTGGGGCACCTGGCTGGCTCAGTCGGTGGAGCACGTGACTCCTGATCTCGGGGTTGTACATTTGAGTCCCATGTTGGGTGTAGAGATGACATAAAAATAAAATCTTAAAAAAAAAAAACAACTAATCTTTTATTTTGAAGGACTTTAGGGTTCTGTTTTTTAACATTTAGAATTGATGTTACTCCCCACACTGGTAGAAACACTAACTCGTGCCTCATCCTAGACCTATTAAGGCAGAAACTCTGGGGAGGGGGCTGGAGGTGGTGGGACCCAGTACTGTGTTTTAACCAGCCTTCCAGGGTCTGATGCGCACCAGACTTTGAGAACCACTGCTTTCCATCACATAAGAGGGACCCCAACTCATACTCCATCCTCCTTATGGATAACAGGGTTTATAGTGAGGTTCCAGGGCAGGACTTCTGATGGATACTTTTCACCAGCTGCTGTTTTTTAGGGCAGCCACCCGAAGGAGGCGGGCAAGAAGAATGTCCCTATTGTAAAAGGAGAGGAAATTTTTCTTATAAGTAAACAAGATGAAATATGATCTAGGGTGTTGCTTCTGGAACCCGGGGCGGGGGGAAACAGCTCCTTGTGGGTAGTTGCCTGAGTCTCTCTTTCTGTCTACACCGCATCAACTTGCCCACAGAGCACGGACTGTAGACAGCATTCCACGTTCTCGTCCTGCTGTCGGGGCTGGACGATGGTGGTGCAGGCACAAATGTGTCTAATTTTGTTTCTTTCTGTCCACTGCCCGCTCTGTGCCAGGAATACACTTCCCTCAAGCTCCTCCCACACAGTGACCTTGTTTCCATAGTAACTGGCACATTCAGCCTGGAGACTTACACATGAGTTTGAATAACTCAAGGTTTTAAAACTGTGAGAACCTAAGGAAGACGATCCCACAAAGCATGCAAAAAACAGTTTCTTCATGCAAATAAACTGTGAATTGTGATGTGCAGTTGTGTGTGACATATGTTGATTATATGTATGTTGCTGTTAGAAATTTCCTGGGTGCTAATCCTTGAATGAGGTTACTGGTGATCTACTTTGAATTGCTGGAGGAGGAAATAGTTCCAAATTAGAGCATATGACGTTTTTGATGGAATGAAGGTCTTTATTTTCTGGGTAAAAATTCACTGTGGTGGCCTGCTGGGCAGATTGTCTAGTCTGATTTGGGAGAACCAGAATAATATCCTTGCTGCACTGGTAGAATTACTCTGTTCTCTGTGTGCTCATAATACTCTGCTGGTCGTACCTCTAGTAGTAGTAATAATAATAATAATAATAATACTTCTACTAATAAGCAATTTGTGATTATGGTGTGCGAACTACTTTATAATACTTGATCTCATGTACTCCTCAAAACCACCTCATAGAGTAAATAATATTATCGTACCCATTCTTCACACGAGGGAACTGAGGGTCAGAGATGTTGTGCAATTTGCCCAAGCTCACCCAGCTAATTTTTAGTTGAACTGGGATTTGAACCCAGAGAAGTCTGACTCCTGGAGTTTACCTTTCTTGCCCCAGAGCCTGTACTTTTCACAGTGTGTGGCAATTACTTGTTTATGTAATCGTGGTGTCCCCCTAGATCAAGAGCTCCTTGAGGGCAGGGACAGGCACTAAAGCTTCCCTCAGAGTTAGAACAGCGCTGGCTACATGCTTGGGGCTCATTAAATACTTTGTCCAAGAAGAGAAGGAATGGATAAATAAGTAAGCAAAGAGAATAAGCTTCACCCTTCCAGTTCTTATGGATAGAAGAGACAGATGACTTCCCACCAGGAAGGCTATTATCCCAGACTTGTGCTATTCATAGCCATAGAACATCCAAAAATTCACGGTTTAATCTTAATCTCTGACTTGCTTCAGATGTTGTCCACCTGCTGTCTCCATCAGTCATGCTGTTTTCTCTTAAAAAGTTATTTTCTCATCAATAAAAATAAGCCTTCATGTCTCTTCCAACCCCAAGAGTATATAGCTTTCACTGTTTTTGAGGTTTTCGGTGGGTACATAGCCCTGAGTGAACCATTCATTTTCCTGGTCCACAAATATTCACAGGGTACCTGCCCGTTCGCCAAGCACTGATTTAGGGGCTTGGGATCCATCAGTGAACAAAGCAGACACGCAGCCCTACCCTCATAGGACTTAGTCTAGCTGGGGGAGGCAGACAGTGCACACCACAGAAAACCCCTAAGTGCATTCTGTAAGTATGGAGAAGGTATTAAGTACCATGGACAAAGTAAAGCAAGTAAAAAGTTGCTATGAGAAGAATAAAGAGGAACTAACAGGGCAGTGCTGAGGAGCACCTCCGGTTTCATTTTTAAAATAGTGTGGTCTGGATGGGCCTTACTAAGGAGAGGAAATACATTACGGGCAGAAGGAACAGTTGATGTAAGGGCCCTGAGCAAGAAGCAGGCTGACATGGATAGAAGATGTGAGTAAAGGGCAGAGTAGATAGATTAGAAGAGTTAACGGGGGATCGGATGCCGTAGGGCCTTGCAGACCATTATAAGGGTTCTTTTGACTTTGAGTGATAAGCGGAGCCATTGGGAAATCAGAGCAGGCGGTAGAGACTTGATCTGATTTACATAATAAAGGAATCACTCCAGCTGCAGTGTTGAGAGTAGAGTGTGGAAGGGCAATGGCGGGAGTAAGGACTAGTTCAGAGCCCACCACAGTCATCCAAGAGAAAAGTTACGATGGCTTGGATCTGGGTGGGTGCCATGGAAGTGATGAGACATAGCAGATTCTGGAACTATTTTGAAGGTCAAGCTAATGGGGTTCCCTGACAGATTTGGACATGAAGTCCAAAAGCAGAGAGGCGTTAAGGATGACTCCCCAGGGTTTTGGCCTCAGCAACTGGAAGGATAGATGGGAAAGACTGTATAGGTAGAACAGTAAGTTCAGTTTGGGCACAGGTGAAGTGTGAGATGTCTCTTAGCTATCAGATGGAGATACTGAGTAGGCATTTGGAGATATATCTATATCAATCTGGGGTTCTGGAGAGAGGTCTGAGTTAAAGATAGAAGTTTGGAAGTCATCGACATGTAGATGATATTTAAAGGCTTGATACTAGAAGAGATCACCAAGGGAGTGAACATACGCTGAGAAGTGGATGACCAAGTGATTCCTTGTAGGGTACTGTATTTATAAAACAGCAACAACAATTATCCGCGTCTAAGTAGACCTGTGCAGTTCAAACCTGTGTTGTTCAAGGGTCACCTGTATGTTATGCATGGTTACGACAGGTAGCTGTAGGTGGGTGTGTCTGAACCTATCCATGGCCCAGAAAGCCAGACAGAGCAATATACGTGGTATAATAGGAAGCAGGGAAAATGCTAGTTTTTTGAGTGTGAGGAGGAGTATGTGATAAAAAGAGTTTGGAGACTTTTGATAATTAGCTTATTAGTCAAGGAAATAGCTGAAGATACTTGCAGTGTTTTCCAAAGTGGGCTCTGGGGGCTCTTCATCAGAACCTCCTGGGGAGCTTATTAAAAATGCAGGTTTCTGGGGATGCAAGCTAACTACTGAATCCATATCTCTGGGGGTAGGACTCTGGATTCTGTATATTTAACAAGTTCCCCAGGTGACTTTGAAACACAACAAACTTTGTGAACTGCTGCTCTAAAGATTTTGTTTGAGTAAATTATATTCCTGACTAACGAGCTCTCCAGAACATAAGACTTAGGTGAAAAAAAAAAAAAAAGGCATTTTGAAAGTGAAAAAACCCACACTTAACATACACACTTCTTAAACGTACGTTAAGTTCGAAGAAGCTATATTTACAGTAGTGTTCATTTGGCCTGATGTTAAACCTCCTTCAGTTGTTTCAGTGATATTTTTGGTATCTGTGAAAATTAATGGCTCCTTCGTGAGATGGGGGTTACCAAATCTGTTTGTTGCTTATAAATCCAGTTATGTACCAGAGAAGATGACTGACAAGGTATAGCTGCCCCCATGCTATCTGATGTCTCTCTGAAGCCAGGGAAGCTAGGAACAAAGAAGACAGAGCTGTGGAGCCTTGGCTGTTTTGCCCCGGGGTTCCCCGAGGCGAGCCTCCCAAACTGCTCCTTTCCACCTCACGTGAGGCCTTATGCCGGCGTAGCTGGGAATTTTGGCGCCATGCTTTTTCAGCCCTTCTTCCTTGGACAGTCTGAGAAAGAGGCAGAGAAAAGCAAATAGGAAATACGGGTTCTGTTTTGTTGTTGTTGTTTTGTTGTTGTGTTTTCGTCACTGACCACAGGGAAAGAATGAATTCGGCATAGGAGAATCTGAAAGCGAGGGCCTCCCTGTTTCGAGTTGTGACAGGGAACTGATGAAGTTCATGGTTTATTTTATTCTGTGCCTCCTTGAGGTAATGATTTTGGTTACCAAAGACCTCCCCATGGGTTTAACATTTTACAAAGGCCACCTTTCATTAGCTGATTTCCACAGACATGCTTCTGCGGATGGACCATAAATTAATTTCTTCCAACGACCAGGCAGTCAACTTTGGGAACTTTTGATTCTAGAATTCCATCCCTTCTTCAATCTACTGTACTATTCTATTCATGTGCAGGGTTCTGAGTGCAAATTTCCATTTATATGGATCTTTTAACAACTTTCTACCAACATTTATTGAGTACTTATAATGTAAAAAGTATTGTATTAGTCAATGGTTAATAAGGCACAGTCCCTGCCCTGGGAAAACAGACCTGTAATAGCCACTCATAATATGGGTGATAAGTGCTATATTTAATCTGGCATTATTTAATTTAGCATTTGAAAGGGAAGGGGTAATTTTTCTCTTGAAGGGAGTTGGAGGGACGTTGGGGAGCTGGGGGAGTGGCTCAGGGAGGAGAGGATGTGGGGCTGGAAGGAAGCAAGGAAATGGGCCTGAGAACGTGGGAGGTGGACATGGGGTCTTGGCTCCAGGCACTGGCAGGACACACCCTCTTGCTGCTTGGCCAGTGAAGGCCAGGTGTTGTCCTTCCTGCTAACATGATTGTTGTGGTCGCTGACCAGCCTCGTGAGTAGGAAACAGCTGTTCAATGCAGCTGGTTTGAGGAGTGTGTTTATGACATTTGTTTTGGGTACATTTTCCCAGTGGGTTACCCTGGACATCTAAAGAATAAGAGAGATTTTAATAAACTGAGAAAATTCCTCTGCATATAGATCTAAAGCCTTAATAAGAAGGTGGTTGAACTTTTTCAACCTCAGAGAGTTTATGCTACTCTCTTAAAACCATGGCACACCTGGTGGCTGGGGGAGGTGGGTGAAATGGGTGAAAGGGGTCAAAAGGTACAAACTTGCAGTTATAAAATAAGTAAGTCCTGGGGATGTAATATACAGTATGGTGTTTATAGTCAAATATACCATATTGCATATTTCAAAGTTGCAAAGAGAGTAGATCTTAAAAGTTCTCATCACAAGAAACAAAATGTGTAACTATATGGGGTGATGGATGTTGAGTAGTCTTATTTTGGTGATTTTAGCGAATCATGTTGTATACCCGAAACTAATATAATGTTGTAAGTCAATTATACCTCAAAAAAAAAAAAAAAAAACAGCACACCCTTTGCAGGTTTTTTTTTTTTTTTTTAACATATGTAATAAGGCTGTAACCCTCATTTCTCTTCCATTTAGCTATGGCAACATAAGCAATACACTTCGGTTTTTTGCAAAACTCTTCACACACAAATGTGCAGACGTGGACAGGATGTTTGTTATTTCGTACTTTCTCAGTGATGACACAATTTCAGTGTTTGAACCTGTAGAGAGGAATTCAGGTAAGAGGCATAGCTCTTACAGCAATTTTCTCAGACCAAGTAACCGTCTCTTCATTTTGAAAGTTAGGGAGTGTGGTCTGATTTTATAGCCTAGATGACTAAGATAGTGGCTTTCTTTTCTTTTCCTTTTTTTTTAACCACCAAAGTTCATTTTACAAAGCTCTCTTAAATGGGAACCCAGACATACAAAGTGATGAAAGAGGAACAGGAACAGTTTGGTTGGCTCAGGGCTGGGAGACTCTGGATGCCTCCTTTTGGAAACTATTCCCCTTTCTGCTGTGGCCTCTGAGGTTCCTCTGTGGAATCCGGGGGCTTCGGAATCATGGTCTGTCTACCGCCAGTTCCATGCAAAGACAGCAAGGCAAGAGGAAATCTCTTATTTTTGATAGTACCACTTACAAAATATTTGCTTAACTATAAGACGATCCCAGATTTTAACAAATTTAATCTTCAAAGTCTGTCTGCCTCTGGCTTCTCTGTCTGTCGAGGCTCTTGCCAAGGTTCCAGCACCCAGGCCCACGGAATGCCTCTCTGCAGCGTGCTGATGCTGTGGACATTGCTGAGGCGAGCCGTTGATTTTGACTTACCGAATTATGGAACTCTAGGGCTTTGCTCTTTGTCCCAACGCATTTACAACTTTTATCTGTGCCGAAGACACATCTGGGAAGAAGAATCAGTGGTGTGCTGGTGAACTGGCTCTCTGAAAAAAATTTTAAAGCCCCAGTCTGTAACACTTGCCAGTCATCACGGGGCAGATACCTCAACCATAGTCAATTTCAAGCAAACAACTGGTTTGCAGAAATCCCCAAAAATCTAAGAGTCAGACCTTATGAGCTGGTGTGAGCCACTCTGCACACCAATGAATAATGAATAATTTGTATGAATAAGTCAGGCTGCATAGTGATTTGAATAATGGATCAAATCCTGAAATATGAACTCAAATAGGAGTAAGTAGAAAGTCATGTCTTAAAGGTCAAAAAATCAACTCTGGGGGCACCTACTTGGTAGAGCATGAGATTCTTAATCTCAGGGTCATGAGTTCAAGCCCCATGTTGGGTGTGGAGCCTACAAAAAAAAAAAAAGAAATCAACTCTGTACATCTAGAGTGGGGAAGATTATGGCCAAACAGACTGCAGCATTCATAAAACAGGGTGATAGACGTCAATTGCAAGCTTACTAGTAATAATAGCAGCCACGATTACCTACTGTTATCCCTAGAAAAACTTCATGAGGTTAAGTTTTGTCCAAACCCCAAGATGGGACTGAATATACAAGAGATTAATTAGGGAAAATGCCAGCAAGGGAAATTGTGGAGGGAGCCAGAAGAAGCCAGGAGAGCCATCGGACGCAGTGTAGGTCTCACTCCTCTGAAGGACAGCAGGAAGGAAGAAAGGAAAGAAAGTCTTAGATTGCAGGGAGATTCTAAGCACGTTTCAGCAAGGCTGACCAGGAACCCGAGAGCCAAAGTCACTAGTCGGAGGAGCCTCCATCTTGCAGGAATGGGCCTACCTTGCTATCCCTGCATTATCCTGTCATTTGTCAGCAGCAGCCTGTGGGAAGCGTGACCTCGGTCCAAACCCAGGGATAGGTTTCAGAGCATAGCCACGGGGGCCTTTGTCAACTACGTTCTCCACAACGGGTGATCTGAAAGGCACATTTTCATGGCTCCCTACAAATTTTATTCCCGTTTTACTGGTGAGAATTCAGAGAGGTTCCAAGAGATTAAATAACTCCTCAAGATCATCCAGCAAGCGACAGAGCCAGGACAGATTCCAGCTCTGTTTGGCTACAAAACCTGTGTCTTTCCACCACCTCTGGGGTTTGAATGTGGCAGGAGTGTAATGAAGCTGACCCCCAAAGCTCATCTGGCTTCAGCTTGTGTTCAGAGGACTGAAGGTTTCAGTTCAGTAGCAGTGAGAAGATCCTGGAGTTTCATCTTCAGTTCTGCTTGCTGCTTTCCAAGAGCCACAAAAAAACAAAAACAAGCCCAAATAATCCCCAGAAGAGAGCAGATGAAATGGTCAGAATTCTGAAAAGTAAGAAATATGTGGCATTGCTAAAAGAAGCAAAGATATTTAGCCTGTAGGGAAAAAAAGTCACAGAACTCCCAGAGTTATCTTCAAACAGTTAAGTAAGCTCCTTTCCAGAAGCTGGGCATCCTACACTTAATCCGCGTGTCGGAATAAATATAAAACATCATCTGGGACAGATAGATGGAAATAAGCTCAAGTGGGGAATTTTCTACGTGGTACTATTCAAACGTGCACTGAAGTGGGGTATCTTCCGAATGTCCCGGTTCTCAGTATGCTGCTGGGCATGTAGCAGGCGCTTACTAAGTGTTTATTTGAGTGTTTGGACTAGGAAGGGAGTAGAGAGGGGAAGGACAAGGCTGGGATGCCGTACCTCTTTTTTTTTTTCTTTACACATTCACCTAGGGAGTCTCCTGTTCACCCACTGCTTCATTCTCCCCTCGGGTCTGAGAAGAATAGGCGGTGTGAGTTCACAAGCTAAGCTGTATGGTCTGTGTTTGAGCATGAAGGAACTCTAAAGGCAAGTTGTATGGTTCTTTGAAGAATAAAGGCTACTCATTAACTTTTCTCTTTTTCTATAGGGATTACTGGCGGGAAGTTCTTGAAAAGAATTCGTGTTAAGAAGCCTGGACAAGAGGTCTTTAAAAGTGAACTATCAGAATATGTCAAGGCCGAGGAGCTATATATCGGAGCCAAAGTGAACGTGAATGGCTACCTGTTTCTTTTGCTCAGTGCTGATGAGTACACCTTAAACTACATGGAAATGAATTCAGATAAGGTGAGCTGACTGTGGAACTTTCGGCTTGCCCCTCAGCGCTCTGCAGTCTGTGTTTTTCTTTCTCTAGGCCTTTTCTTCTTCCTGCCGGTCTTACATTGTGCATTCACACATGTGGCCATGAATAATGGATCTGCGCGACTTGGCCACAGGTCCCGATCTCCTCTGTTTACATGCTGGGCCCTCCACTGCCCAGCGGCACGGATGCCGGGCACAGGCAGGAGGCAGGCCCAGGGTTGAATCAGGTTTCCTGGGTTTTCTGCTGACGCTGACAATGTTTTCATAAAGAGATTCAGTGACTATAGGAAAGGAAAAAAATCTGGTGCCACACACTGTGCCGTCCCCGTTAATTGGCACAGGCCTGCACAGAAGGCCAAGAACTGAACAAACAGAAACCCCAAGGGAACCCGATAGTTGCTGGGGTTGCAACTTTCCAGAACAGGAGCTACCTGAGGCCTACATAAGAATTCAAGGACAAATTGGCAACAGCAAGCTCCGGGAGTTTTTTTCGTTGGAAACAAGATGGCAGCTGGGTACTGTTAGTAAAAGAACTAGCATGGCAGTGCTGGTCTGTCAAAATAATGCGTTGATGAAATCTTGATTTTAGGTGTGGACTGGTTTGCTGTACAAACGTGTATATTTGAGAGATATTGCCTAGTATTGAAAAATCCACCTAGAGACACTTTTTTTTTTTAAAGACTTTATTTATTTACTTGAGAGAGAGAGAGAGTGAGCGAGCACATGGGAGCACACAGAGGGAGAGGGAACACAGAGGCAGAGGGAGAAGCAGGCTTCCCAGCAAGCAGAGAGCATGATGTGGGGCTCGATCCCAGGACCCCGGGATCATGACCTGAGCTGAAGGCAGATGCTTAACCGACTGAGCCACCCAGGCGTCCCTAGAAATAATTTATTTTAAAAGTCTGCCTGTAAGGGGGCACCTTGGTGGCTCAGTCGGTTGGGCGTCAGCCTTTGGCCAGAGTCATGATCCCAGGGTCCTGAGATGGAGCCCCGGGTCAAGCTTGCTGCTCAGCAAGGAGTCTGCTTCTCCCTCTCTCTCTGCCCCTCCCCCTGTCCATGCTCTCTCTCTTTCTTTCTCTCTCTCTCTCTCAAATAAATTTTTAGAAGTCTTTAAAAAAAAAGTCTGCCTGGGGCGCCTGGGTGGCTCAGTTGGTTAAGCGACTGCCTTCGGCTCAGGTCATGATCCCGGAGTCCTGGGATCGAGTCCCACATCAGGCTCCCGGCTCGGCGGAGAGCCTGCTTCTCCCTCTGACCCTATCCCCTCCCATGCTGTTTCTCTCTCTCTCTCAAATAAAAAAAAGTCTACCTGTAAGTAATAATGTTCATGTGCCAATTATATCTGTATCTGTATCTTTTTCTATATCTCCATACACAGTACCAATTCTGTGTCATTTGTATATAAAATGCTCAGGGGTGAGTTGCTAAGATCAGTCTCTCTGTGTATATCCCATCATCCTTTGTTTGGGTCCTCTGAGCAGCAGGTGCCAAGGCTGAATTAGATAAGCAAGGGGCATACCAGGGGAAACGCATATGAAGGATAAACGAGGAAGGAGCAAGAGCAGGTGGGGAGTCTGAGCTGTAGGTCTGACCCCTGAGAAAGGAGATGGAAGGAAGGAGGGTGGGACACAAAAGGCCTCCGGACACAGTACAGCGCTGAGAAAGTGTCAGCCAGGCTGATGGGGAGCCCGAAGTCAAAGGCTGCCTGTAGAAGGGCCAGGTCAGGCAACAGTGGCCCAGCTCTGGTGTCCCTGAGGAAAACGGCCTGGGCAGAGTATGGCCAGAAGGTACGACCGGTGGGGGGCTGTCGGCTCTTCTCTATGGTTTCTCTGGATGGTAGGCCCCCACGGCACCCTCCAGGGCCACCACTCCGTTTCTCCATTTGCGGGGTTAGGGTTTCGGCTTATCATAAAACTGTGAACTGGTGGGCCTTCAAAAGCACTGAATTCAGGCGAGAGGCTCAATGATCGGGCAGTTAGGTTTCTGGAGACCAGCAGGCTCGTCTAGGAGACATGGCTACACACCTCCTGGCTTAGAGGCCTTCGACATGTATTTTCCCTGAGCTCCACTTCCCTCATCTTTACACAGTGACTCTTCCAGAGAGTTCCTACACAGAGGAGATGTTGTCATGCATGTGAGGTGCTTTGCTCTGTGTGGCCCATAGCAAGCTCAGTCAGGGTACAATTTACAATAGCTATTGTGAATTTGGACTCAGTTTTCAAACACAGGGCGAACCTATGTGTTAACATACATATGTATATATGTATATGCATATATGTATTATATGTACACATGTACATATTACATGTATGCATTATATACACATGTATGTATTCTATATATGTATTTTATATGTATATTATATACATATATTAACATAGCTTGAGTGTGTATGTGTGTATGTATATATACATGTATATTTGTAAGATATAAAGGGCTTTTCTCCTTTCAGAAAGGTAAAAAGAGGGTAGGACGTTATCTGGTATCAGCATCCCAAGTGAGAACTGCATGATTTTATTTTATTTTATTATTTTTTAAATTTTTTTTTTAAAGATTTTATTTATTTATTTGAGAGAGAGAGAATGAGAGAGAGCACATGAGAGTGGGGAGGGTCAGGGAGAAGCAGACTCCCCGCCGAGCAGGGAGCCCGATGCAGGACTCGATCCTGGGACTCCAGGATCATGACCTGAGCCGAAGGCAGTCGCCTAACCAACTGAGCCACCCAGGCGCCCGAAAACTGCATTATTTTAAAACTACCCTTAACAAGGACTTTTGAAGCAGAGAAAGATTAATATACTGTTTTTTTTTTGGTTTGTTTGTTTTTTGTTTTTGTTTTTAGCAGGGGAGGCACAGAGGGAGAGGGAGAGAGAAAATCTTAAGCAGGCTCCACGCCCTGCACTGGGCACGGAGCCTGACACGGGGCTTGATCTCACAACCCTGAGATCATGACCTGAGCCAAAATCAAGAGTTGGCCACTTAACTGACTGAGCCACCAGGCACCCCAAGATTAATATACTCTTTAATATCTTTGCAAAAGAGCTAATGGATCCAATCATGGAAATAGATGAAAGGCAATGAGGAAAGGTGGGGCGGATGGGGGCTCCAACAGGTCCCAAATGCCCTGGTGGAAAGAGAGATCTTTATACTAAATTTAACATCAATGTTTTTAATCTTCATATTTAGTCTTCTCATTTTTTTTTTTTAGCTCTTAGCTGTAATTATTTACAAGCTTATGCCTTACTGGATTAAATAAGAAGTATTTTTACAGAGTCAAAAACCTAATCACAGGGTAGGAGATGGCAACTGGGGGCTGCCAGAGAGTGAATGTCAGGGGATCACAGTGCATGTGGATCTCTGACACCCAGCCATGCTCTGCTCAGTGCATCGTCTGATTGCCAGTAGTCCCAGGGGGCCCACTCTTAAGATCTGGAGAAAATGAGGGTCCACTTATCCAATTGTGAATCTCCATTCTCTCCATTAGGGTCTCCCAACATATTGGGCCAACGTCCAAGGGTTCAGGGGAGAAGGCTGAGGGATTGTTTTCTGATTCCTGTGGCTTGCTGTCGCTTAAGCTCATTTCTCTCAGATCTAGGCCTATGTTGATGTCACTCATTGTCCTAAAAATGCAACCAAAGAGACTTAAGTCTAGTCGTGTCTTCTCTGCATTGGTCTCTATGGAAAGCCATGCCCAGCTACCTTCAGGTTCAGGGCGTGAAGTCTCTTTGCGGGCCGTCAGAAAGATTAGGCCCCCTACGTCCCAGGCATGTTTTAATATCCTTCCTTTCCTTTCCCTCCCCTCCCCCCCAACCCTCCAGTTTCCCATGAGCAGCATTGAACTTGTCCTGCAAAAGCTGAAAGAAGAAGAATCAAAATCCAGAGAGATCAAGCAGGTATTTGCAGCTGCTGACTGTAGGCACACAAAGATGGTGGATTATAATACATTCAGGTAAGCCAGATGCTGCCAGCAATAATCTGTTTTCCCTTCAAGATTGTCCAAAGAGCAAAAAACAATTTCTTCCCTGGTGCTGCCTAACTAATTTACTACATGCTTTTTATTAGGACTTGACATTTCTTTGTGTTCGTACTACTTTGTGATCAAGTTTGGTCCATTTCTAGTAAAGTTTACGTATTTGCATATAAAAGGAGCTTATAGGCAAGAACAGAGAGACAAAAGCACAGAAAGTCAGTTCTGTTGTCTTGTGAATCATGGTATTGAAGGCTCCAGGGGAATGCCGGGAAGAATGCCATCTGGGTGAGAATGGCAGAAAAAAAAAATGCAGCTAAGGGCACCCCCTCTGAAATCTGGGGAACAAAGGAGGGACAGCTCCCTAGGAATGTGATCCAGTTGGAAAAAGACAGTGGAAACTTTCCTGATTATCAGAGAAGAGGTGATAGGTATGCGTCTGTGTGTAGGTGTGCTTACACACATCCGTGTGTTTTGAGAAACAGACAGAGAGATCGAGGGGAAAATAGAGGACAGTAGTTAGAACTCTAATAAGAAATCATGAGCCATAAAGGTTTTCTCTAAGGTAGAGCTGAATTCTGGGACTGTCCAGTGGCTGACCTAGGCAAATTGCCAAACAGTGGAAACACAGGGAAATTCAAATTCAGGATCTAGTACAATTGTGAGACTTCTTAGCCTGAAAACAAAGTGAATGGAGCGTTCAGGAGAATGTAAATTAAATCATGGATGGGAAGACAAAGGGGACTTTCTCTTTAGACTGAGAATTCTGGCTCCTGAAAACAGTAGTGGCCAAAAGCTATATAGGAGACTTGCTGCAGTCAAGATGTGAGCTGACCAGTGAGGAAGAGTCCAGGACAGGGTGGTGGGGGAGCGGGGGGGATCTTTCCAGCTTTGTGTCTGGAGTTGCCTATTACATCAATACCTGGTGACCTGAGGCCACCATCAGGCCCGAAGTGTCCCCAAAACTCATTTGTTATCTTAACAAAGCTCTTTTGTATCTCCAGAATGTTCTTTTGAGAGCAGTCAGGACATATTTTTATTGTTTAGGATTGCCAACCTTCTGGGGTCAGTAAGAATTTATAGCTCTTTGTTATTGTTCATAGTCGTACACATGTTCGTGGCCTTTTGGAAAATAAAGGGAGACGGAGGAAAGAGCAAAGACACTTGCTCAGGCCCGGGGACTAGCGGAAAGCTGCGGAGGAAGAAACAAATTTCCATCAGAAACGAGGGAGTGGTTTCGCTTTTGTTATTTTGTGTCCTTTTACAAAAGCATCCATTCTCCCAACACTCCCAGCAAAATCTGCTGGAAACACTTCAGTGAGTTTATGGGACTTTCTGGGAGGCACTTAGGCCCCGGGCAGGAGATCCAAGGAGGAAAAGTTGCTCTGCAGATGGAGGCCTGACCCTGACCGTGGGTGGAAGAAAGGCCCGCCAGGCCGTGTGATGGAGGGGACAGCCTCAAGGCACCGCGTGCTTGGAAAGAACCAGCTCCTCCCCCCGCCCCCTCCCCTTCCCCCCTCCCCCATCTTGAGGCCCTCTCCTGGCCAGGAATTCCTTAAGATGGAAACCAGATCAGGTCATCATGCCCAGCCTACAGAACCCTTCCATGGCTTGCCATCATCCTTACAGTAAGATCCAGACGTTTTGGGGCAGCCGGCTAAGCCCGGAGTGATGTGACTCTGTGTTTCCAGTATTAATCACTTCTTGTTCCCCAGCCTCGTCCTCTGGCCTCGATGGCTGCTACTCAGTTTCTCGAATGAACAAACGTGTCAAGCTCTTGCCTGCTTCCAAGCCTACGTACACTCCCTTCCCTCTGCTTAGAATGCCCACATTCCGGGGCAAATTCTAAGGCTCGTCTTCAATGGCACTTCTGCCGAGGGGGCTTGCTTTCTGCTTCTCCTGCCTAAAGTAGATCAATCCCTGTTATCCTTAGCTTTTTGCTGCTCTTTTTCATAGCACTTCATACAACTTGCCGGTACTTGATCCAGATAGCGGTTACTTGGAAAATAAAGGTATGTAAGTAGGGGAGAGACTCAGGGCCACGGATTACCTTGCCCTGGGGAAGGGCTGTCTGTCTCTGACTGGAGGGGAGTCAGGGAGAGAGAGCTAGGCCTGACCCTCACGAGCCAAGCAACTTGGGCAACTCACTCCGCCTACCTGCACCTCACTCTTGCCCGTGTCGTGGTCTCTATGGCCCTTTCCGGGCATTGACATTGTGAAGCCCTTCAGATGGCGGTTTATAAAGACACTTGTAAAATGCTCCCTCTTGCAAATCTGTGCGTTGCAGGAGTAGGCAGGCAGAGACAGGACTGAGGTGTAGGCCTCCAGGCTTCATCTCCGTGGCCCTGAGTCTCTCCCCTACTTACATACCTGGCACTGTCCGTGCGCACCTGGGGACTCAGAGCTACTGGGGCGCCCCAGGCATTTCCTTTCCCTTCTTCTCAGACATTTGTGCTTCTCTCAGGGAAACCTTGAGAGTGGGAGGTAATCAACCACTTCCGCAGAAGATGCCACGCCTGATAACAGATGAATGGATTCATGCATGGGCCTTCTTGAGATAATCGCCTCATAAGTGGCCTGAAGGAATGCGGGGACAGGTGGAAACAGGAGGCACGTCGGGGAGGAAATGTTTCTTTTCTGCCTTGTGGGGGTCACTAGTTCTGTCTTTTCATAGTCTGTCAGGTCGGCCGATGGGAGTTGCTGACTGTGGTCCGGGAGAGCGCAGAGAGCCTTTCTCAGAGCCTCGGGTGGCTCCTGGGCAGATCTCAGCAGGGAGCTGGGCAGGGACTGGGCTTGGCAGGGCCAGCGTCTTGTGCAATTGCGAACATCGCCGGGTGAGGCTTCCCCTTGTGGGCCCTGGATTCTGAACGATAGGCTGCAGCAGCAGCAAGGGCCCCGTGCCAGGGAAGATGTGGTCAGGCCCTCTCTCTGGCCACCTCCCCAAGCCTTGAGCTACCAATTGGAGATGACCCCTACCCCAGGGAGCCTGTGTATATTTTGGTTTTCTGCGTGCTCACCTTTTCTCCCCACCTGGGCCAAGCTCCCAGAGGGCAAGGCCCACGCCCGGTTCGCCCCTGTGTCTTTCCCAGCTACCTCCTGGACCCAGTGTCTCAGGCCTCAAAGCACATAGGAAGTTACTACATAGTTCCTCCTTAGATGCCCATCATCAGCGGCAGGGCCAGGAGATTTCCTACGAACATCCATGTAATAAATGCCTTCTAAGATTTAGAGTCTCGAGAAAGTTTTTTCCCTTGTAAAATTAAAATTCTTCCTGAGAGGGGTAGTACAATATAAATAAGATCTGATTTTGGACTTGCTGACCTGAGTCCAAATCTCAGCTCTAACATTTGTCAAGTAAGTTGCTGAACAGTGTTTTCACCTATAAAATGGGGATAATAATACCCACTATATTAGAGCAGTTGTGATGAGTAAATATGATAATATATACAAAGTTCTTATTGTAGAATGCTGTGGTGTATGGTGGACACTAGAAAATGAAAAACCCTTTATCCCAATAGTTGCCACTTTGTGTCACCAAAACTAGTAATAGAAGTCTGTCTTATTTTCAGTATTTCAGTTAAGTTATAGATTTATCTACGATGAGGTCATTGAAAACATTCTTTAGGGGCACCTGGGTGGCACAGTCAGTTAAGCATCTGACTCTTGGTTTCAGCTCATGTCCTGATCTCAGGGTCGTGAGACTGAGCCCCATGTCAGGCTCAGCACAGAGTCTGCTTGAGATTCTCTCTTCATCTCCCTCTGGCCCTCCCGCTCATGCTCTCTATTTCTCTCTCTCAAATAAATCTTTAAAAAAATTCTTTCATAAACAAGGTTGGAAGAAACTCTTAAAAACCTTGGAGGCCATGAAGGTGGAAAATAAACATCATCATTGGTGGACTGAAGTTGGGAAACACTTATAATCCACCCTATTACTGTCCTTTACTTCAAGGAAGAAGAATATAAATTTAGTGCTTAGAACATTGTAATGATCTCATCCTGATTTATCTCAGACAATTATCTCTCCCTTTATGTGGTTTTGCTCTATCTTTATTCAAACAACTCTGTGTTGTTATGGGTGTTTTTACTGTAAGTCTAACATCTTTTAAGTCTATGAATCTGTATGAACAAAAGCAAAAACTAAGATATATTCCAGAAGCACTCAAATATCTATTCTCATCATGAGCCAAATAGACACCCTGACAGTGTTCATAGCATATCTTTGAGATGGGAGCCTCGGCATACATTTTTTAAAAACAGCGTTTTGAACCTTCGTAAAAGCATTAAATATAAATAACGTGATGTCATAGAAAAAACACTGGCCTGGGAATCAAAAAGACCAGGATCTTTGATTTGATTCTGTCACTGCCTGATGGCATTCTTTGTATTGGTGAAGCCTTAGTTTTAAAAAGGAGAATCGTCTCTGGCTAGCTAAACCAAAAAGGAATTTATTAAAAGGATCCTGGGTGGTTCACAATATCATTGGGAGGGCTCGAGAAATAAGCCTGAAACTAAATTCTAGGAACAGTGCCCAGAACTGGGCTGTAGAACTTGTCTGATGGGAAAATGGCCTCTGTCACCACTGTACCACCCATGACTCAATGCACCATTTGCACTGCTTCCAAGAACTCCATCTTACCACAGCCATCACCACCACTGCGTCCTGTGCCGCCGCTGAAAACTGGATCCCTCTGACACCTAACATGGTCTACACCTCGCTGGTTTCCCCTGTTAATCCCTCCCAAGTCAAAGTCTTCTACAAGCTTCCCTGATTGGCGGAGCCTGAGTCACTGGCATGTTTCTTTCTTTCTTTTTTTTTATTTTAATTTTTTATTGTTATGTTAATCCCCATACATTACATCATTAGTTTTAGATGAAGTGTTCCATGATTCATTGTTTGTGCATAACACCCAGTGCTCCATGCAGAACGTGCCCTCCTTAATACCCAGCACCAGGCTAACCCATCCTCCCACCCCCCTCCCCTC